GGCCTTTCTTTCCATACTGCACAAAGACAGGTGAAATATATAACATGCTCAGTAAAACCAATACTTAGACACACACAATAGCCTTCCAAATAAGCTGCTACCTTGCAGTGCATCTCCCCCTGAGCTCCCTCTTTGTTGAGGTTTTTTTAAGTGCGCTTTTAATAGGTTAATATCCAAATAGTAGAAATGCCTCCTGTTGCAGTGTGTCGCTGGCAATATGGCCTCTTGAATCATTTTTCTTTGAAAACACACCAGGTGATCAGGTTTTACTTGCAGCTTTACCTTTGCAGGTTCCATCTGGCCTGTTTATCCCCAGCATGGCAATTGGTGCCATAGCAGGAAGGATTGTGGGCATTGCTGTGGAGCAGTTGGCTTATTACCATCATGATTGGTTCATATTCAAGCAGTGGTGTGAAGTAGGAGCAGACTGCATCACCCCGGGGCTGTATGCAATGGTTGGGGCCGCTGCCTGTTTGGGTAAGTTTGTGATATCAATGCTTGCATAGAAGTAAATATGGAAATGTGCACTGAATTGTCCTTATATTGAATTTGGCTGCTTGTGCATACTTTAATAAGATACACATTTCATCTCCTTATTGGACTCCAGAAAACAACACTGAACTTCCCTACATACTCTCACCCCCATCACGTTCCAGGTCACCACTGCCACATCTATCGCACCACTTATTACACTTCCCACCTGAACTTCACATGATACAGATACTGCAACCAGCAGTGTAGTGTGTTCTGTACTGGGCACAGTTTAAGCTCAGAGCTTGGAATCCAGCAGATTTGAGATTCTTTGACCCCATTCTCTTGCTTGACATCCGGGCTGTGCTTATGGCCATGACATTTTGTATAGAACCCAGAATAATGTCACACTACCTACTTTCTATCTTACGTTTTCCACTTATATTGACACTAGATGGTCATATGAAGCCATTCAGTGATTTTTGCCTACAACAGATATTTGTCCTTAACCCCTTCGTGACGGGAGATGTACAGTGTACGTCTTGTCACTTTGTGCCTATATGACTGGCCACGTACACTGTACGTGACGAGTTATATCAGGCTTTGTAATGCCGGTATTTGCTGATTCTCAGCATTTAACAGTCATTCATTAATGTCTCAGTATTGAGGCATTAATTAATGAAATAATTAAGCTTTTTGTAAAAGCTTCTTCCTTTCATTAATGAAAGAATGAAGCCGTTACATGCAAATAGAGGACCGCAATTTGCGATCCCGTATTTGACAGCTCAAAATAGCAGAGAGGCAGCAGTGACTCACCTCACCTCTCTGCTATTTGTTTTGACAGCTCGAGAGCCCGATGTTTAGATACATTTCACTCAAAAGATACAATGTATATCTTTTGAGTGAAATGTATCATTTCTGATCGTCTAGGCACGATCAAAGAGCTTTTAGTGAGATCTGAATCTGACTAAAGTCAGGATCAGTCTCTAAGGTTATTATTAGCTGTTCCTAAGTTTGGATCAGCCTAATAGCCAAAAATAAAATAAAAAAGTTAATTTATCAAGCTGTCATAGTGATTGCTTGATATAAACTGACAAGGAAAAAAAAAGTTTTTTTATTTTATTTTTATTTTTTTTACAAAGTGTAAAAAAATTAAAATAAAGTGTAAAACAAAATTAGGAAAATATAAATTATATATAAATATATTTTTTATACTATAATTAATATAAAAAAATTCTAAAAAAAAATAATAATAATCAAAACTTGTGAAAAAAGTGTTTTCTTCTAGTTTTTTTCCTCATTTTTTTTATTTTATTCAAACTAAGTGAGGGGTTAGGTACACATATGTGATATAATTATATAGCCCTATCTGTCCTCTAAAAAACAATATATAATATGTGTGGGTACATTTAGTAAGAAAGTATATTACTGCTGTGGAAGAATCACACAGCAAAAATGTAAAAAATGTGTCAGTCATTTATGAACAGAACCTGAAAACTAGCTCAGTCATGAAGGGGTTAAACAAATATCTGTTGTAGGTAAATTTTAAATCAAAGGTAACTAAATAATAGGAGGGGGATAAGAAGTAGATGCTCTATCATGAATATATTGTTGCACAAAAAGTAAGAGAAAACAACCATCTGTTACAGGTGGAGTAACTCGGATGACAGTGTCTCTTGTCGTTATCGTCTTTGAGCTCACAGGAGGATTGGAGTACATTGTACCACTAATGGCGGCAGTAATGACCAGTAAGTGGGTTGGAGATGCTTTTGGACGGGAAGGCATCTATGAGTCTCATATACGACTGAATGGCTATCCTTTCTTGGATGCAAAGGAAGAATTCACACACACTACACTGGCACGTGATGTGATGAGGCCGAGGAGGAATGACCCACCGCTAGCTGTTCTCACTCAAGATAATATGACAGTAGATGATATAGAAAGCCTGATCAATGAGACCAGCTTCAATGGCTTCCCAGTAATTATGTCAAAGGAGTCTCAGCGGCTGGTTGGATTTGCTCTGAGAAGAGACTTAACACTAGCAATAGGTAAGAAAGTTATTGAACTCTATTCCTAATTACTTTGTCTTTGTAATTTTGATGATGGGCCATGACATTTATAAAACTGCTTTTGTTGTCAGAATAGAGGAAGTCAACTTCAGGGCTGCAGATCACTGCAATAAATGGGCCGTTGTGGGTATAATATATTTTATCCCCTTATATGTGTGCGATAGATAGATATAACATTTTAAATCGCCAACATGGTACAAACTTTGTACACCTTTAGAGGGAAGTGTTGGTATATGACTTTCATTGAGTCATTTTGGATGCAACGTTAACATTTGTACATGCTTTTAACTTTATATTTTTGTTGTTGTATTTATTGTAGAAACTTAAGCTGGCCATACACTATTTAAAAAAAAAAAAAAAATCAGATTGCTCCATTCACGTTAATTGGTTGCAGTCACTGTTCGTCCAACTATTTTCTATCCGGCTCCTCACTTGGTCAACTTTCTTTGACCTGGCAGGGCCGCACACTGTAGAAATTTTGTCCAATTTCTGTGAATTGGCTAAACAATTCTACCAGTTTATGGCAAGCCTTTTTTGTATCGGTTAGTGGTTGCCATTAGGGGTGCAGGGTACATTAACCTTTGAAATAACTGCTTAACAAGCATACAGATAAGATATCAGTCACACAGGGAGCACATAGTCTGCAATCATTTGTTCCACTCATAGGATTGCATTGTGAGAAGCAGCAGTAAATCACAACTAATGCTTGGCAATGCAAAGCTGGAAGTAGAGGATTTGTAATGAGTAAATCTGGATGCGTCCATGTTCATATAAAATGGCAAAGTAAATAAAACGTTAACACATTTTATCTAAAAAACATTGATGATGCCAATATTATCCCTTTGATGATACATTTGCTCAAATCATAACTAAACCCAAGAACAAAATTGTAATAATGCAGCTTACCAGTCATTAAAGCAAGGCTCCAGGAAAGAATGATCATTTACACTCTGCGCCGGGTGTGTAAATTATTATAAAGCTTTGTGTTATGTGCAGAGGAAACTGTAAAATAGGAAAATCTTACCTTGCAGCACCGGAGTCCTGTACAGTTTGGGACACATCGCTCCCACTCTTCAATGCCCTGAAGCTGGGCATTCTGTGCAGGGGACGGCGTACTGCAAGGTAAGATTTTTATACTGTGCAATCGTCCTTTGCACATAACGCACAGCTTTTTAATGATAAATTTACACACCCAGTGCAAAGTATAAATTATCTTTTTTTCCTGGAGTCTGGCTCTAAATGTGGTGGCTGCATTTGTTCTAACATTTTCAGCAAGTACAGGAAATATCTGTTAAACCAGGATGAGAATGACATCCCCGAACTTGCATCTTAAACTAAAAGCCAGTAGTGGCAGCTGCCATATTTGTGTTCTGAAAGGCTTGAAATATAGTGCGTGTAAATAACGAAGACGATTCTGCTTCCCTCTCTTAGAAAATGCAAGAAAAAAGCAGGAAGGCATTGTTGGAAGTTCCCGGGTCTGCTTTGCTCAGCACACTCCATCCCTGCCTGCAGAAAGCCCTCGCCCCTTGAAACTGCGCAGCATCCTGGACATGAGTCCCTTTACAGTAACTGACCATACACCAATGGAGATCGTAGTGGATATATTCCGCAAGCTGGGGCTTAGACAGTGCCTTGTCACTCACAATGGGTGAGTTCCCTGATTTTCTTTCATCTACTAATGTTTTCATGGATAACTTCTAGGCACTTAATACTTATTCCTATTATTGTGCTACTTGTTTCAAATGTTTTTCAGATAATGCATTAGGATTAAATCCGTCAATAATTTAAAGGGAAACTATATTGGTTTGGACATTTTATTAAGGTTATAATTTTTAAAACTGATATTTAAATAAAAAAAATGCAAAGCTGTACAGAGGGTGAAGTTGCTACTCTGAATCATTCACCTGTGTATGTAAAGTTCAATGTCAGCTTGAGCTATTGAACATTGTAAACGTGCTTCTTTAAGAATCAACGAAAAAAAACATTAAAAGGAGCTTTACTTTAACCTGTAGGCTAAATATGAGAAAAATACATGTTCTTTAATATGCAAAATGTCCTATTTCTCTTACTGAAAGAAGCCTCAATTTTAATATTTAGTCCTAGCCAGAATAGAGAAAAACATATGCAAAACCACTATACATTCCCTTTAAATGAGACCAGTGCAGGTTTAAATCTGAAAACCTTTTTTCCAGTGGGAAGACTTTTGTTTGTTTTGTGTGGTGGGTGATTGGGGCAGTAGTGTTTAATGACATGGATATGTTGAAAATGACACAGAAGAGGCCTTATCATTGGTTTGTTGCAGAGTAGCTTTATATAGTGCAGATGTGGATTGCTCACAATTCAGCAATGGTTATGCTACTGGACACAATATTGCACATATCTAAACACCAGGCTCTGGGGTAAGGAGCAGAAACAATATGTGAAGCTTCATTAGTCATATAGGAACATTAATATTCATGGATTGTGGAGGCTTTCAATAGTTTGTTGCTGATCCTGGCTTCACAACTGAAACACAGGAGGTAAATCTTAAAAATGCATTTAAGTATCTTAACTATTAACAAAAATGTATCTTATGTGTGTATCACTCGGCTGTAGATCCTCAAATCATCTCTGAATTGGTGCTGACACTGTCCTTCCTTCTGGGGGGTGGCTGCTTCTGTTCCCCATGGTCCCTGTGTGTTGTAAAGTAGTCACCGCTCACTTCCTTGATGGACTACAATCTCGCCCTCCAGGAGGAAGGACAGTGTCAGCACCAATTCAGAGATGATTTGAGGTTCTACAGCCGAGTAATATACAAATAAGATACATTTGTGTTAATAGATAAGGTACTTTGCATTTTTAAGATTTAACGCCTACATTTAGCATCACTTTAATAAAGTCACTGACTAAGATTATGCTTGTTCAGTCGGGATTTGGCATCACTAGAGTCATGCTTGGCGGGGTCATTGCCTCACCAGTAGCAAAGCAAGCATGAGGATGACCCCAGAACATGGGTGCAGCTCTTAGATCTCTATACAGATGTTCCTCACTTACCGACTTACCTGTTTTGCGACCACTCGCACTTACGACGGAGCGCCGATCGACCTCCGACCTTGCGCGTCAGCATCAGTGCGCCGTGTCGCCGGCGGAAGTGGTGTCCTCCGATCTTCATTGCGGGTCCTGGTAAGTATTTTCATTGCCCGATGTACAGTACACTGTTCGTTACTGTACATCGGCAACGCTATACAGTACTGTACTAATGCAGTACAGTACTGTATAGAGTTCCTCACTTAACGACCAATCCGTTTAACGACCTGGTCGTAGGAACGGAACTCGGTCGTTAAGTGAGGAATACCTGTACTGAGAGGCTCACTTTTATTGACATACAATAATACAATATGCACTTCCTGCATGATAAGAGAAGTGCAGAGGTAGAACTCCACATAAAACTGTTTTTCTTTTTCCTTTAGTTTTTTCATTTTGAATAGCGTGTGGTCATACCTCCAATAGGCACACAACGGTAAAAGCATTTCTTAATAATGAGGTCGTTTTCTGACTCTCTGTTAGGGAGCTTTCCCTTCACCTGTCTCCATGGTAAAGAAAGAAATAAGGGAATGTTCCTAATGGAAAGATGACAAATATAATCTAACTAGAGGTGCTCCAAAATGAAATGTTGTTCTGACCGAAGCCGGAAATATATATTTTTTTCTAACCTTTTTACATTTAAAAAAAATTATTTTTATTTTTTTCTAAACTTTTTATATTTGTATTTATTTTTAATATTTTAACTTTACTGTCATTGGTTCTGGGGAAATATTAAGGATCTACACAGACCCCTGATATTTCCCTTTTTAAAATAGAAAAAGAGAATGAGAACACCGAGTCCGCAATCTCTTTTTCTGCATCCCCTGTTATCAATGAACAGGAATCCTCTATACTGAGTGTTCCTGTTCATTCATACCTTGTGGTGATAGTATGGTTACCATGTCCACAATCAGGAATGAACAGGAAGTGATGTAGAATACTTACCATTCATAATTGGGGACACAGTAAACATACTCTGTCCTTAATTATTTACAAACTCTCAGCGATCACTGATTGCTGAGTGTTTGTATACCGCTCTCCACCCTGACTCCCGCTGTCACTGGAGGCTGAGCGGGTGGTGCAGGGAGGAGAGCTCGGTCTCCTGTGCCAGCTGACTCCTCCCCCTCACCACTCTCCATCCTGATCTGTTACAGGAGGCTGAGCAGGGCACTGCGAGGAGAGCTCGGCCTCCTGTGACATCGCCAATGACAGAGCTCTCTCCCCCGCCCCGCACGGCCTCCTGACAGTTTCTCTCCTCACTGGCCGCTGATTTGCGTCAGAGGGGACACAGAGCAGAGAAATCACGGATGCACTGCAATTTTGGCCGAAAGAGTGTACTTTCTGCATTTTGCCCAAAGCACCATTTTCGCCTGATATGTTTCGGAGGCTGAAATTTCGGTGCATCCCTAGTTCTAACCCTTCACTACTGTAGCCAAAAATGTTTTGGCTGGAGTTCCAGTTTACATAATATGCATTGCATTGTAGTAGTAAGCAAGGTAAGAATGCTGCTGCATAGTAGACACCCCTGGGTGCCATATCTTACCATTGGTGTGCCAGCTTATTCCTCTCCGTGTGCTGCTACACTCCTTACTCCTCTTCCTATCTCACAATTCAGAGGTCGGTTTCTGTTCCCAGGCCTAAACTCTGCGTGTGTTGCCTAGTCTTATGCAAATAGCATCTTTGTGTAGTGCAGAGGCACATAACGGGTGACCAGGTAAGCAGAAAGTAAGAAGTGGCAGCAGATGGCAAATACTATACAGATGAAGGCTTACTGATGTGGCAGGTGTACTTCAATGGGTCAGTTCACCCAACACCGATACTTTACAGGTTTTATAATGTTGGGAATGGTGCAAGAGTAGAAACACTGAACAGTGGGTGAAGGATGGGCATGCACAAATCCCAGAAACACTGCCAGGGAGATGTGGGTAAAGATGCAGTATATTGCACAGACAGCCTCCCCTGCTGTGTTAAGTTTCATTTGGCCGACTCCCCCAGTAGACTGATTCAGTATAGAGCAGTACCAGACAGTCCGGAGGAGTTGTGGGCACATTTGGAGCGCAGGCCTGGATCCCATCGTATAGGCTGGAGACATACGTGTCATTTTACACACAGGCTGCTCCAATCACCTTCTTCCCAAAGCAATGCTAATGAGGGGAATTCACTATTGATGGAACAGACAGAATCAGGAGCAGCTGTGCACGGAAACCAATAACCTTCTAGCTTTCATTTTCCAAGCTGTAGAGGAAAGCTGATTGGTTACTATGCACAGCTGATCCAGATTCTGTCTGCTCCAGTTTTATGAAGTTCTCCCCAGTGTGTTTTTATGACTGTTTACTGTTGAAATCTTTTTTTGAGTTTTGATTTGCGCATACATTTTGTTTTAGTCAGATTTAAAAGTCAGTTGTATTTGAGTCATTCTTTTACCCTGTATGAGCTGCTTGTATTTGGATGTGATTATCAGGACTGATGTAAATGATTTTCAGGACTCATGTAAATCATGATCCTCATGTAACATTTTCTTCTTGTTTGAAACAAACAGAACCTGAGCAGATGCCATGCACCACACTATATTAACACTGGGCTATCTTGACTCTGTCAGCCCATTACTAATAATGTGCTACTCATCCATTTCCTGCTTGCTCTTGTTTTGTGTGACTAAATTTGCTTCCTGACATAATGATAATTGTTCTTTACATGTAAATAAACCATCTTCAGGGAAACAAACGCTTTGGTAAACCCAATAACTGCTACCGGTTCACATAGGAAATAAAGTTCCTTGTCTGAAGGTAGACGTCTGCTGTGCCGAAGCTGCTCCTGGAACGTGCACTTGTCTGAACAGTTTGCTCTAGTTGTGGTTGGGAGCAGCTTCTTCACAGCGGCATGAAAACACGACTCTAGGAGATTGCAAAGCGTAAAACTCAAATGCATCGTACAAAGCAGAAGTGCACTTATGATCTAGAGTCACCCCCAAATTGTTACTTCTTACGGACTGCAGACAGTTTACTTCCAGAGTGCCCCGGAAATTCCAGTCAAAACTTTGAAGGTTGGCTTGTATGCCAGATCAATGCTCAGCCCCTTGAGGTCTGCTGGGAATTTGTAGATTAAAGCGCTTTTGATTTTAGGGCTTCCAGAGTGCTGTGGAAATAAACTGTTCTACAGTCCATGGCCCAGGCACTGCAGGCACACTTTAAATTGCCCATTTTGTGGTGTCTCCGTACATTGCTATTCTTTTCTGGCTTTTACAGACAAGGTCAGTCCATATTGCCTGCTTATAAAATGCACAGACTATTCTTCTAGGCAGTTAAAGCGACACGGAACTCAGGTGCTGAATCTTAACAATGCAATAAAGTACCTTATCTATTAACAGTAATGTATCTTATTTGTGTATCACTCGGCTGTAGATCCTCAAATCATCTCTGATTTGGTGCTGACACTGTCCTTCCTTCTGGAGGGTGGCTAATTTTGTTCCCCATGGTCCCTGTGTGTGTTGTAAAGTAGCCACCGCTCCAAGCTCACTCCTGTGATGGACTACAACCTCATGTTTAGTTTACTAACTTGTATTGAGTTTGTAGTCCATCATGGGAACGAGCTTGGAGCAATAGCTACTTTACAACACACAAGAAAAGTAGCCCCCCTCCAGAAGGAAGGACAGTGTCGGCACCAATTCAGAGATGGTTTGAGGATCTACAGCCGAGTGATGCACAAAATACATTTTGTTAACAATTAAGGAACGTGGATTTCTAAGATTTAACTCCTGAGTTTAGTGTCACTTCAAGCTATTGACTAACCTTGTATCTCTTGCTAGGCACATCTTCTCATAGAGAATAGTGGACTCTTTCCTTGCAAGCTTCAGAATTCTGACATCCCAGTTGTCCGTCCCACATCCATGACAATTCTTGTGCTTTGATTGGCATCTTTGCTACATGTCAATAACTGAGAACCGGATCAAAGCTTTTTTAGAAAAGAACATACACATAAAACTCATGGTGATTTGTATTTCTTGTGTGTCAGCCATTACTTACTCTGTTATCAACATGTGTATCACAGTGGGGCAGATTTATAGAACAAGAGGCACTCCTGTGTCAACCAAAGCAGCCAATCAGATCCCTTTCTTCCAGACCTACAAGAGGTCAGGTGACAGCTGTGGCCAGCATGGGCACTTCTCTGCGTTTTCTAGATCAGCCCCACTGTGGAGGTATTTGCTTCTACAGATAATCCTTTAATCAGCAGGTAGCCTCAGAACACATTTCCCATTGTACTTCTGATCATTTTCTTTGCAGAATATCACATGACCTTTTTTTTTTGCTCTTTCCGAACAGTGATGCCTTGTGGCATGCTTGTCTCTTCCATGTCATTCATTGGTCCATAACACTGTCATTATTTTATGTTGCTTCATTCTTTTTGTTTTCTCCATTTGTAGTTCAAACTCAGTTATTAGCATAACATGATCTGTTTCAGGATTGTCTTGGGGATCATCACAAAGAAGAACATTTTAGAACATCTCGAGCATCTAAAGCAGCACCTGGAACCCTTGGTGATTAGACAAAGCACCTTTAACCTGTAGACACCTTTTAGAAAGCAGGACGCATGAAATGTTGAACCGTTCAGACATCATCTGATCACAGCAACCACAAAAGCATACTCGGCAGTTAAAAGCAGCAATGGTCTTATACACACCCACATGCACTTCATGACATCAGAGGAGAAAAGAGTCATTGCTTTTTCAGGAAGATTAGTGACCTCTGCTCTAGATTTCTAGCACTCTGTGACACGCTATGTCAATGCAATATTTCAGATTTACTTGGTAAGCATCAGCAGTTTTTACACAGAGAAGGCAAATCTCTGTTCTTGGCTCAGCAGCAGCAGCTACATGATCTGTCTTGGCTGCCCCTAGATGTTGGACACAAGCTCATAGGGTTACATGTGCTCCCAAGTGTTAAGGCTTCAGTCATACTAATCTGCTGGCAAAGCATTTTCCATGCACAGCGTGGCACAGGAAAATGTCGTCAGTCATACATAGTGCACTACTATTGCTTGCTCCAGTGAGATGAACAACCTGATGTGACCTGTTTTATGAACACTGCTACGCATTATATCAAGTTTGGTGAAGGATCCATTGACTGGCATGCAATATTTCATGCCTGTGAACGTAGGCAGACTTTACAATTGGATTATACAGTCCTCTAAATTTGAAGCCCAATCCAGTCACAGGTATAGGGGGAAGTTAAATGGGACGGCCTGCACTTGTATGGCGTGATTGTCCAGTTCTGTGTATTGGAAGATTTCACAATCGGAATGTTTGGGAAAGGAAATCGTAGACTTTCACCTGCAGTCCCTGGTAAATTGCACATTTTTAGTGCTGCCTCGTAGAACAAATGATCAAGAAAATTGGAGTGAAAAAGAAAGAAGTCATCATTGCTTATCTCTTTTATCAAAACTCTAGCTGCCTGGCGGTTGTGCCGACTGCAGTAAACTTAGTCACTGACCTAAAACAAGGTTCTGGAAAGTCAGAGAGAAGTCAGATGTTTGGATCTGTACTGTACTTGTTCTGGTCAGTAACTCCAGTTACTACAGCTAGTGGGGCAGCGTGAAAGCCAGGACACCTGCATTTTAGGAACAAAGGTTAGAAATGGCAGCCTCCATATTTTTTCTGTCTCCCTCCCTTCAGCCTCTTCCTAAAAGAAAGGAATCGGTGCCATTAGCAGGGGGGCAAAAGGCTGATGGCTGTTTAGAAAAACAAAAACTGCTGTCCTAATGTAACTGACAGACTGCATCATATATGTCATTTTTCAGTATGCTGACATTTCAAAGAGAAGGTATACAGAATGCTTGCATGACACTACAGATATGTCTAATAATTAAAGGGCATTCAAGTACCCAAACTAATGACGCAAATGTATCTTATTTGTGTATCACTCGGCTGTAGATCCTCAAATCATCTCTGAATTATACCCTGTGTGTGTTATGAAGTAGTCACCGCTCCAAGCTTAGTCCAATGAACGACTACAATCTCACGTTCGGTTTACTCATTTGTATTGAGATTTTAGTCCATCACAGGAGTGAGCTTGGAGCGGTGACTACTTTATAACACACACAGGGACCATGAGGAATATACGCAGCCCCCCTCCAGAAGGAAGGACAGTGTCGGCACCAATTCAGAGATGGTTTGATGACCTACAGCCGAGTGATACATAAATAAGATACATTTTTGTTAATAGTGCATGTAGCTGAATGCATTTTTAGGATTAAACGCCTGAGTTCAGTGTCCATTTAAGCCAAGCTCTGCATGCATGCTTAGAAGGACCCTGTGTATAACTAAGTCAGATGATCCATCTCTGCTAGGAGAGGGAGTTAGAGGGAAGGGTTGTATCCCTCCAGTGTGAACCATTCTGCAGAATCCGATCTCCTCCCTTGCTATTCAGGTCTGTTTCTCAGTACAGCTGTGGAATGACTTGGATAGAGCTGCCACCTGCTGGCTGCAAATGGTAAATAGTTCTGTAATTAGTAATGAACACAGTAAATGAAAGAAAGCCGTTCCCTTTGATATACATACCTACTCTTATGTAGGTTATTGTTTGAGCTGTATCTGGATAGTACAGACCGGAAGGGCTACTATAACATTTTATAAACATTTCACTATTGCCCACACGAGCAGATTGTAGACCTGAATTTCTCATCGTCATACACATTCATAACACTTCAAGGATGGTCCATGGACTGGAGATTTGAAGGTACAGGAACACCTTTCCGTTTTCTACCTTTCTCCCTGAACTGTAGCTCTCCTATTGAAAGCTTTGCTGGGCTTCGAGCCTTCCAGTTGGCAGTATCACAGCCATCCCTCACCTCTTATAACCCTGATAATCACTTTAGTAGCGAGTGCTTCTAGAAAGACTCTAATGCCCTTACCTTGAAATATCATTCATTAAGGCTGACGCTTGGGTAAGGAATTTAACCTCTTGTTGTCAGGCACATTGAAAGCTGTGTACTAGAAATAAGCTAAGGTCTAATCTTTCTGTAACATGAGATTAAAATCGCCCCCTCCCCCACTACTGCTTTAACCCCCCCCCCATGGGGATTTGACGCCTTTAACATTCATTGTAGCATTGGTACATTTCCTTATAAAACAACCAGAGGACAGTTCATACAAAGTGCAGGAAGAATAGACGTTTTGCCTCGGTAACTAATCAGGTTTCATGTTTCTAGGGCAGGTTAGAGACACAAAGGGAAATGAGTGCTATTGGCAACGGCTCCATTTTCCCTCCCGAGTGGATGATTCTTTTTCTCAGTGTAGCGATCCTTCCTCGGCTGACAACAGTGTGCTGCTGGTTGCTTTAAATAAAACTGCTGCATTTTGTTGCTGTTCCACATTCATTTCACATTGACTTGCTTTGCAGTGTATCTGATATTTGACAAGAATTTCATGCCTCCTCTCACAAATGAAATGACTAACCAACATAACTAGGCCATCTGCTCGATATGTTCCACTTTGTGATGTTATCCTGCTTGCTCTAGAGAATACAAGAAAGCAATTGTCACATTCCAAAGCTTCATTTCTATTGGCAAATATTACACCGTGGGCAGCTTGACGAGTGCAGAGTTTTTACTTTTCTACGTGACAAAATATAAACAAACAAACAAACCTCCCGTCCACGGTTTGATCACTTGCACCAGAATATGCAGTACTGCAATGCCGTGCATTCCGGTGCAGTGCGACTTGGGTCACGATTTAATGACCAAGGACAAATTTGGGTCCTGAGGTTACACAGGTTGAGAAACACTGCTTTAAAACATGTAAAAGCTGTCTAAAGTACCTCAATCTATCCTCATATTGGTCTCCTGACGTCCCTTCCACAGCTGATATAGATTGGGAGAGAGCACTAGAAGCTAAAACGGAGCTTCTGCAGTATATATGTGCTGCCACTGAACATGCAGACAGGAGGAGAGAGCTCGGTGATGATCCCATCACTGCGCTTCTGCACCACTATTCACTATTACAGCTTGCTCTAGCATTAAAAATGAGCCTGTGACTGGACAAGTTAGTGTAGTCTGCAGAAAGCTTTTGGAGTGCAGGGTCTGGTTGTACCAATTGGCATCAGTATCTGGGTCACAAGCGTGATTGAACAGAGTTCTGGTGCAGAATACTGTTCATGTACATGTATTTGAACTGTGTACTCAGCAGTTTTCCTACAATTCAGCTCAATGCATCCTAAAGCCTTTGATGACTGGACACAGGGCTGGTAGTTTTGGTGTAAAATTCCACCCAGTAGAAGTAGGAAAGACAAATGACATTGATTGAAATGTGTTTACCCGGTAGAGGCCTGCCTAGCATTCTAAAGGAACAATAGTTAGCTTAGGGAGTGGATAAGTCAACCTTTGGCTGCTTCCCAAACCAGTATGTGAGAAACCGTGTGCCCTAAGTTTTTTATGGGCAGAGATACCAGGCGGTACATACATTAACCTTAAGGTTGAATGCTAATTATTTTCTGACTGGAAAGATTCACATTTAGGGAATTCGAGTTATATCAAAGCTTCTAAACTGCCACTGCTACCACATAATAGGCACTTTATGGTGCTTGGGCATTTCATGCCCAGGTGCCACTCATCCTGGGGTGGTTCTTATGTGCAAATATCAACCAGCTTTCTTAGTTGATAAACCTGACCTGCACCACCTCATTGACAGTTGTGGCTTTCCATCATAGTGATGGGCCAGTAGTGCCTTGTGGGGAAGGGCAGGCTAAGCTCTGGACCCGGAAGGCTGGCTGATATGTGCTTACCAGAATGTTCCTGTGGTTTAGGGTACCTGGTGCTCCATAGCTAAGCTCCCTGAAGGCATCACAAGGTGTCTGTTATGTGGTACCAGTTGTAGTTTCATGTTGATGGAGTTTATGGTTTGTTTAAGAATTGTATAGTATTTATCCAGAATCTCTTTTGGAGAGGCTCATCTGGGAGGACTTGTCTGAAGTCTTCCCTAATCAATTATCTATTAATACAACCATGTGGCTGACTGACTTAGGACTCATTCACACCATTGCCGTGTATTAATGTGCATTGTGCTAAAGCAGATCATTAATTTAACGGGCTGCCTAATGCAACTACAAAACGTGCATGTACCATTTCTGGCAGTGCGCTGCACGCAAGTCGGCAAGGTGCATTGAGGTGCCGGTGAAAATGGATAGCACCACATTGCACCAACGCATGTAATGCGTGTTGTGGTATCTTGCACATTAATACAACACAGTAGAGTTAATGGGCCCTGAAAGTTGGCAGTTTTAGTGTGTAGGTGCAAAAGGCCAAGTCCATGGAGCATAAAAGGTCTTACTGTTATGCAGCAGTGCTGAGTATACTGAGCACCTGTTGCTTTTACATCCAAGGCCCAGAGCAAGGAATGAGCAAGTTCAAATCTTGTGGCCCAAGAACCCTTTTAGGAATTTAAACTTGCAAAGTCTGCCACCGATGGTGGACCATAAGTGAACCCCAGAGACCATAATGTAATGCAGATGTTTAATATTTTGAGTTCTGACCTGCCTCTAGTATTCTGCGCAAAGACGCAATGCAGTGGCGGATACTGTCGTCCTGCGCCTACATTTGACATTGAAGCCATTGGATTTGAGAGAAGCTGATATGTTTTCAGTTTCTGATTCCTCTACTCCAATACTTGACCCATATGCACTCATCGTGGGTATGCTTGAGTAAATTGTCATTTTGCACTCAGAATGGCTGCCCCAGCTGTGTCCAATTTTTCGGTACATTCGATTTGAAGGCTTATTGGCTTGTACCCAAATTTCTTTAACATGAAACTAACCTAACGATCGGAATATTGTAATCAGGATAACCATCACATACTCACAATTTAATGTCTTCTCTCTGTAGATTCCCATATTTAATTTCTTCATTGTTATGTCTGTGTACATTGGGCTTGTCATGTGATACGGGGGAATAACCGATGATTATTATATTTGGCAGCTGAACGGGGTGTAATCTTCTTGCTTGATTGGACCTTGCACAAGTGATGTTTTTAATCTCCCACACCCTATTTAATAAACCTGACAATAGTCATTGCGTGTCCTTCACCTACCTCTGATTTATCAGCTCCTTGTGCAGGTCCAATAATGTATCTTGATCAGTCAATAGCACAGTGATTTAGGATACATAATAGACGTCCAGTGAATGGGTCCATACTCGTATGACGTGATAATACACACATCCTTTAATTTATTACGCATGTTTTGCTGTTGAGAAGGCTGCTGCTGCATTTCATCAGCAAAGCTACTAAAAAGCAAATAATCTTGTTATTGGTGGTGGTCTGCTCCTCTGTTAACACGCGTGATCCCGCTATCTGCATCATAGTCTCTTTCCTCTTCCAAAATGATCCAACTAGCAGCTGAAACGTCATCTCTTCTGCTCACCAGGTGTTTGATTTATTAACGCTCTTTCTTTTTCCTAGACGCCTCCTTGGCATTATCACAAAAAAAGATATTCTCCGTCATATGGCCCAAATGGCAAACCACGACCCAGAGTTGATAATGTTCAACTGAACAGCATCCAAGAAGAGCAAGAGGAAAGTGAAGAGGAGGTTTTCTTGTTGAAGGACACTCTACCCTGATAGGAGAGCAATTTGGCACATTGGTAAAAAGTGAAGATGATCAGTTTTACAGCAACGTTGCCTCCCTGCTTGCACAACTGCATAAGAAAGTGCCGAGCTGTGGTGGGTCATGCGCTGTGACTAACTTGCCACTAGAGGGCAGTGTAATACTGTGACTACTAGAGCATGAAAAATAAAGGGCATGTCTATTACAGGAGTGTCTTAGACTTGCTCATTTTGTCCCTGTTGCATACTGGAAATCTCCTGAATTGAGCCATCATTATTCAAGATTTGTTGTCATTGAAGGAAACCTGGTGTTTATGCTATCTGCTGTCCGATACTATGTTTTGTACATTCCAGGACAGATGTCATTTCTCTCTATACCTTATCTTCTTCCATCACCCCTCACCCCCGTTCCAATGTACTCCACGAGGAGTCACGTAATGCAGCAAGGTCTCATATTGAGATATACTGCCATTCTCACGAGAATCATCCACATACGTATGTGCCATAAAGCAGTGAGCTTAGCTTGGTACAGGGATGCTGAAAAGCGCAGACGCTTTTTCAGCTCGGCCGCTTAGAAAACTGGATTGTTTCAGATGGCCCGTTGTGCTCTGTTCCATGGTGTGACGTGGTTTATGCAATTTTCTTTTTTGTATGCTGGGAAATCCTTTAATCTACTAATGTTTTGCAGTGTTAAGACTGTTGCTAGATGTCCCTGATCCTTGACCTCGCCACAGGAAAGAGCGAGAATGACTAGGAGCTGGATGGACTGACAGTTTGCCATGAGATAGCATTGCACTATTTGATGCTTCAGGAGAGCTGCGGAATAATCCCTCACCGTGACCTATTCTTACCACCCATACTTATACAACAGCCACTGAGAACTGTTTCGATTGCCCTACATACATAATATTAGATTTTAATGATGTGATGTTCCTTTGTATTTATCATCTGTTTGATTTGAATCACTAATCAGGGAAATTGGGGAAACGATTGGAGGAGAAACTTGATTTATAATTGCACTAATCGCACATCTCTAACTAATGTGGTCATGGATCTCCCAACTGGAGTCCATTTTGGATTATATTTGACACTTGAAATTAATTTGATTTTGTTAATCGGACAGGATTGGGGAAAAACTGCCCCAAACCCCCTAAAAAGGCCCCATGCATGTTTTTTTCTTGGTTTTTAGTGGGTAACTAGATAAGGAAGATGATGTAGTCTATAGGGATTTGCTGCAGCGAAGTTACCATGCCAAATGCATCCACATGGCTCCTCTCGGGATCGGGATGAGAACCTGGCTCATTGTCTAATCTTCAGAATGGGAATGTAGTCCAGTGAGCTGCAGTTTTTGCTAGAGTTCAGCGAGAAGATGGTGGAAGTTGTCTGCGTGGATTATGGAGATGGTTCGTAAGAGAACTGGGTTATGTATAATTTTTTATAACATTTTAAATAAACTCCAGCCCAAAAAAAATATTTCATAGTATAGGAAAGGTTAGAACATGTTCTATTTTTAGTGCAGCCCATGGATTTCCTTTCCTTGTGACAATGTTGTCACCATGACATGAAATAAAATACCCCCTGCAGGTACACTTACTGCCATAAATACCAGGCAGAGGTTCTAACCATTCTTCACGCTGTCCAAAACCACAACCAGAGTTCTTTACATTCACAAGATGCGTTACTTGCTTGGTACCCACAGATCCTAGGCCTTGAAATGACTTGATCAGAAACCATCTCCACTCTGTTTGATTACTAACTAGGCTTGAACTAGAAGTAGAGCACAGCTTTGCCAACATTCTGTTGATACTACTAAGCAACCGAAAGAGTCAAATACCTCTAAGAAAGCAATAAGACTTGATCATCAACACTGCAATGAAAGTAGTCCTATCTAAACGGCTATAACAATTGTTGTATTTATTAAGTGTGAACAATTGTTCCAAAAATGATGGCGTTAAATGTGTCCCACAATTCACTTGAAACTCTTCTTGCAGGGTTGTATTCTTTTTATTGAACTGTGTTACTTTAATAGACCACATATCTGAGTATATGACATTCTGTGTATTGGCTGTTAGATCTCTCTTATGGTTCAGGCCTTCCAGAGAATGTGATTCTCTATAACCACATCCTCCTAGTCAGTGGTAGCTCATGAGGATTGCTCATGTATGTCAGCAGTTATTTCCGAGGATTTAGCTCCTTGGAACATTTTGTCACAGCTGTATTATGTTCATATTCTACTGAGAGCAACTAGTGAAGATGAGACGTTCTGTATTGTTATAAAGTCCAGAAATAAACTTATTGGGGAACCTAGCACTGGCTTGATTTTTTTTTTCAGGTTGGTCTCCCTGCGCTATAACCACCAAAGTTCCTGTTCACATACATTAACACGCAATTTAAAAGCAGTTGGTGTGAAAAAGGGCAGATATCAGCTTAGGGGTGCTGGTCAGATGTATTTGTGGGTTTTTTATTTAGGTGATTACTTTGTCACAGCTTGTACTGTCTAGTACAGTCATGTTATGAATTCAAACCAAAGTCACTTGGAATTTCCTTTTCAAATACCTTTTTTCTCTAATAGAAAATGCTGCTTTCTGCACTCCTCCTCCAGCACCCTATGCTGCAGTAAATCAATAGTAGCCACACATCTCATCACAACTGCTGGGGTGTAGATCAGCCTGTTAGGGTGCACTGGGCAGCATGGTCAGGCTCTGGTATCTATTAGCCTTTAAAGGAGAACTATGAGGTTAATGCTTTTCACTCACCTCATAGTTCTAGCCGACCTGTGACAATGAGACTGTCACAGGTCGGCTCAGTAGATCGGGAGGTGAGCGAACACATGCCGGCGTTCGCTCACCTCTCGATCCTGTCACGGCTCTCTGCCGTCACAGGGGAGGGGCTGGATTCCCCGCTCCGATCCGCCAGCGCTGACTGGCGGAACGGATGGGGGAGGGGGCAGGTACAGCTGGCTCTGCCTCTAGATAGGCAGAGCCAGCTGTCACTCACGCAGCTGGTCGGATCCCGGCACAATTGTCGGGATCCGCTTCAGCTGCGGCGTCTCAGAGCAGCAGCTCGCGGTATACTGAGCTTTGGGTGACGGGAGGACGCTAGTTTGTGTCCTCCCGTTACACTAAGGAGAACTATGGGGAAAAACACTGACCCCATAGTTCTCCTTTTAAATCTTAAAAATGTATTCAAGTACCCGAACTGTTAGCAAAAATGTATCTTATTTGTGTATCACTCGGCTGAAGATCCTCAAATCATCTCTGAATTCATGCTGACACTGTCCTTCCTTCTGTAGGGGGGCTACTTTTGTTCCCCATGGTCCCTGTGTGTGTTGTAAAGTTGCCACCGCTCCCAGCTCACTCCTGTGATGGACCACAATATCAATACAAATTAGTAAACTAAATGTGAGATTGTAGTCCATCACAGGAGTGAGCTTGGAGCAGTGGCTTAGGTAGAGGCTGCTGCAGGCATAAAACCTGCATAGCAGCAGCTTTATTTGAGATCCTCTTTAAAGAGGGGGTGACAGTGAGTCACTTTATGCCCCACGGGTCCTAGTGAATAATTAATGTCATTACCCTTCACTACTTTGTATGTGCATTGCCAGGACCAGTGATATTCATATGCTTGTTGCAGGTTAGCCACTCAGTAAATAGTAAGGGATGGATAACCACAGCCCTGGAGCACACATTGGCAAAGCACAGCACCAATATTATCCGGTTTCTTTTTTAATGATTGATATACAAAATATACAGGTGAAACTCGAATAATTAGAATATCGTGCAAAAGTAATTGCAGTAAGTGCTGCAAAAGGGGCCCAAACCAAGTACTGAGTACATATGCATGCTTGTACTTTTCAGAGGTCCGATATTGTTCTATGTACAATCCTTGTTTTATTGATTGCATGTAATATTCTAATTTTCTGAGATTGTGGATTTGGGGTTTTCATGAGCTGTAAGCCATAATCATCACAATGATGACAAATCACGGCTTGAACTATCTTGCTTTGCATGTAATGAGTCTATCTCATATATCAGTTTCACCTTTTAAGTTGCATTAGTGAAATGAATGAACTTTGCACAATATTCTAATTATTCGAGTTTCACCTGTATATACACACATATACTTTTAATTTAAGAGTCCTTACTAAACATGCAGGTCTAGAAAATGTGTCTTCAATGATCCTGTTGGTTGATGCAGAGACTAACTCCTGTATAAAAATAGAACCTTTGTACTAATCCGACACACAGCTAGGTCTATTGGCCATTTAGGTTCTTGCTGCCACCTGCAGGAGAATGATGCTAAGGAGCTATACCTCCTCCTGCTAAACATGATGAATGTACAATGCAAGGATTTGAAAGTGACAAAGCATACCCTTGAAGTAGAGCACAGCTTTGCCCTCTTTTTCTTTCCTGTAGTTTAGTCCCCTCCATCGCTGGTGCCGGTCTCTGATGCAGCACTGCTGAGTCTGTGTGGGGTGCACGCTGCCTGCATTGACTTGCCTTGTCTCTTTCCTCGTCTCCGGGCTGAAGATCTGTACTGGGCATGCACCCATCCCATGATCCTTTGCAGCTACCAAAGTTTTTTCAGATCTTCGGCCAGGAGCGTGTGGCAGAGACATGTTAGGAAAAAGGTTGAATGTTTTTGCATACATCTCCTGCTCGCTATATATAATGTGAATACCCCCGAGGGTTTCTTATCCTTTAACCAATTTTGTTGCAGTTTCCTTCCTGTTTCTGTCTGAAGAAATAGCTGTTTCTTGCAGCATGTCCTTTCCAAACTAAGGTTTGACTGGGAGAGCCTGGGTTCATTGTAAATCAGCCGGTGGGTTTCCTGTGATGTAATAGGTAAAGGTGCAGTGTCAGCGTCCCTTTTGCAGTAATTAACCCTTAGGCTCTGTTGACATTAGCAGTTGTACGCACAGAAACGCGCGAAACAAAACTAATACATTCCAATGAAGCTTGTTCACACCTGCACAACGTATGCACGGGCTGAAAACACACCAAAAAGTACAAGTGTGCTATTCCGGCGCATTTCAGCTATAGAATGTGCGCGTTTTCGTGCCACAAGGAAGGCCCAGCTGAATTTCTAACTGCTGTGTGTAAACGGAACCTTATGGAGTTCCTCACCAAAAATTTAATTCCTATTGCACAGGATGCCACAAATTATACTTCTAGTGCAGACTTGTGGGAAAATCAGGCAGCCAATCACAGAAGCCACATTGCTGGGGGCATTCCATACACCTACTGTGTACAGAAAACCTCCAGATCGCCATATTGCAGTGAATTTTTTAGCTTTAGAACATTACAGCATTACAGTTATAAAAGGAAAGGTCATATTTGATGACATTACATAAATGGCTAAATGACTATCCTATCCGTCTATTCTGTACACCGAGGAACTCATGGTGTTGTTGATAAATGCTGGCAGTTGTTACCACTAAGTGCGGAAGGGAATTCCAGAATTTTGCTTCCGGAAGAAAGAAAAATACCCAATGCAGTCCGAGTTCAAACCACATCTCATCCAAATCCCTTTTGTGACCAAGTGTCATCTTTCATTCTTAGTTTCTTCCCAGTCCTGCACTCCCCATTGATGAATGTGTAAATCATATTCCCTCTTAGGTGCCTCTTCTCTAAAGAGAACATGTTTATTTCTGTAGCTGATCTTCATCACTCCGATCCTCCATTCTCTTTATTCATTTTCTTGGCCTCCTCTTTCTCTGGTTCTAGAATATCTTTTTTAGAGGATTGTTTCCACCTCCACACTCGTGTCTGGCACATTCAGGGCCTCCAGGTCTGAATTAGAATGCTTCCTTTGGGTGCACTGCTAGGTAGCTAATGTTCTAGCCACAGCTCTGCCTGCACCATCCCTGAAACAAAACCCTCCATTGTGGAGTTAAGGAATTTGATGGTTACAACATGAGGGAGACTTGGACAAGGTAAGACTGATGTGGGCAGAGCAGCAGCCAGACACCATTCACTCTTAGCACCAACAAATTTGAAGTTATGACCAGCACATGCAAAAAGAAAGGTCAGGCTGACTGCAGTCAAAGGTTTGGTCCTTTTGTTGAGGTTTAACATGTTGCAGCAGGCAGTAATTACAGGCACACAAGGGCA